ACAAAACTATCATAAAGCAATGTGTCAGACATCAGGCAGCACATATCTAACCGTTTCATGTAATAACTTTCTGTGAGGGAGACTTCAGAGGCATTAAACTCTTCAGACGTCTGGTTCCTATCGCCACCAGTGTGAACCGCTCTGACTCGGTAAGTTTCTCCAGAACAGAGAAACCGCTCTGAACGACTTTGTTTACATCTCAACCATTTGTGTAGAATTTTTTGGAAAATCGGTGGAGTTCCCCTTTGAGTGACATGGACGGACATGCTTTATTTACCAGTTCAGGATCTCAAAGTAAGTGGCCTCCTCGCTGGGCGGCTGTATGACTTTACACGCTGAGCAGAAGAAGAGCTGAGCAGCAGAGCCGCAGCTCCAGCACCTCCTCACCGCTGAGGATGAACAGAAGCTCCTGGTCAGGTTGTCATGAAGGTGAAGGTTCGGGCTCAGCTGCGCGTGAACTCGAGTGAAGTCTGGGTTTTTGTTCGGAGAGCTGAACGATCCCCCCGCAGCAGCTGCGCTGCAGCGCACGGCTGTGTTTTGGAGGAGCGGTGCGCATCTGTGAAGTCGGTGAGAGGCGCACAGAGTCCGCACACACTTCATATCGACCTCAGCTCAGAGTACAACGGCTCTATACGCGTCTGAATGACATATTACACAGTATGGAAGTTGACGCTGCATCGGGTTTCCGGCTTTGAAGGCTGTGTTCCAATTCGCGCACTCGCGCCCTGCACACTCGTACCCTAAACACTACCATTACTGACCGATTGGTGGCGCCGGACAACTTCTTTTTTTCTGAAACCTTTGAAGCCACAAGCTTGTTAATGATGTGTGCACTCTGGTTCTTCAAAGATGGTTCTTCAAGGGTTCTTCAGTAAAAGCAATGGTTCTATTTAGAACCATGAGTTCTGTTTAGAACCGTTTTCATGCTTAAATGGTTCTTTGCATAGTGAATGTGTTGTATATAAAACGTTTTTTGAAAATGGGGTTCTATATAGCACCAAAAAGGGTTCTCCTATTGTTAAAAGCTTTTCTGGTGCTACATACAGTCTTAAAGAACATAGTAGAAAAAAGACAGTAGTTCTATATAGAACCATAAATTGTATACAGAACCATTTTTATGCTTAAATGGTTCTGTGCATAGTAAATGGTTCTTCTGATTGATAGACAATGTGTTGTCTATAGTTCTGTATAGAACGCTTTTGAAAAAATGGTGTTCTATATAGAACCAAAATGGGTTCTCCTATTGTTACAAGCTTTTCTGGTGCTACATACTCTTTTGAAGAAGATAGTAGAAAAAAGACAGTAGTTCTATATAGAACCATAAATTGTATATAGAACCATTTTCATGCTTAAATGGTTCTTTACATGGTGAAATGGTTCTATATACAATTCATGGTTCTATACGGAACTACTATCTTTTTTTCCTACTTCATCTTCTTTAAGAGTGTACGTAGCACCAGAAAAGCTTGTAACAATAAGAGAAAAAAGACAGTAGTACTATATAGAACCATGAATTATATATAGAACCATTTTCATGCTTAAATGGTTCTTTACATAGTGAATGGTTCTTCTGACTGACATATGATGCGTTGTATAAATTAGAAAAAAATAATGTTCTATACAGCACCAAAAAGGGTTCTCCTGTTGTTATAAGCTACATACACTTCTAAAGAAGATGGTTCTTTAAAGGTTCTTTAAAAAGACAGTAGTTCTATATAGAACCATGAATTCTGTATACAACCATTTGCATGCTTAAATGGTTCTCTGCATGGTGAATGGTTCTTCAGATTGATAGAGAATGTGTTGCATATGGATCTGTGTAGAACATTTTTGAAAATGGTTCTATATAGCACCAAAAATGGTTCTTCCATTGTTACAAGCTTTTATGGTGCTATATACACTCTTAAAAAAGATGGTTCTTCAAAGGTTCTTTAGTAAAGACGGTGGTTCCATATAGAAGCATGAACACTCACAGAGCTGTTTTCATGGCTCTTTGCCAGGTGGAACGGTTCTGCAGATTGATGGAGAATGTGTTGCATATGGTTCTATGTAGAACCTTTTTGAAAATGGTTCTGTATAGTACCAAAAAGGGTTCTGCTGTTGTTACAAGCTGAGTTTGGTGCTGTATAGAACTATATTCTACAGAGCACCATATGCAACACATTTTCAAACAATCTGAAGAACCATTTCACCATGCAAAGAACCATTCAAGCATGCAAATTGTTGAATATAGAACTCATGGTTAATAGTCCATTTCAGATGAAAACAGAGTTTAATTGAAAATGGTTCTATATAGCACCAAAAGGGTTCTTCTATTTTTACTTGACATCATTATAATTGTAGAACCCTTTTTGGTGCTATATAGAACCATCTAACATTCATAGAACTATATGTAGAACCATATAGACAACACATTCTCCATCAATCTGAAGAACCATTTCGCCATGTGAGCATTAAGCATTAAATGGTTCTATATGTCACGGGTCTAAACTGAACCATTCACTTTACTAAAGAACCCTTAAAGAACCGTCTTTTTTTTTTTTTAAGAGTGTAGTAAAACCCTGCAGGTGTTTCCATGAGACTTTGTTTCTGATCGAAAGGCTGTCGTTGCAGTGATATGGTTTCAGTAGGGATGTGAGGATAAACACATTTTCAGTTTTGATATATGATTTTAAATTCTGAGTTCAAGATTCGACTTGATTTTCACTTTTTTATGGTAAAAACAACTTTTTTTAAACTTCTTTTACACAGATGCACGCAGCACCACCCTCGAACAAAATGAGGCCTCAAAGGCACAGATCCTAGAATTTATAAGCAGCTTAAGGGGGAAGACAGCTCTTCCACGGCTAAGGGGACAAGGGGACCACTACAGGTACCCCATTTAAGAGGAGAACTTTTATTTATTACAGAAAAATCAACCTGTAACTTAAGACATTAAGTCTGTTATACAGTAGTTCCAGCAGCAGGGACGGCTAAATCTCTCTGTTCTGCTGATGAACACTAAAATTATTCTGTCCTGCTAGAACACTAGAACACTCAAAGCATTCCAGAAGAGAAGTAGACACTAACCAAGCATTTATGTGTGCACTAAGCATTCTAGTACACAAGTACACATACATGTCAAAATAAAAGTCCTGGATCAGTTTTGTTGAATCATTATGACTTGGTGATGGGAATGTTTATAAATACTCGAAACAATGTGGGGAAAAAAAATATTAGTCTAGGATAAACACAAGTTCGGAGAGTGAATTTTTTCTCGTATTCTATTCTTTTACTTCTGGACCACTTATGACATTTGTGTACATGTATGTAACAAAAAACCATCATAATTCTTTTTAAAATTACAACTTTCCAACCTCTCTTTATCCCTTAGAATGAAGCTGTTTTATAACTGTACCCTTTAGACCAGGAGTGTCAAACTCAACCACTAAAAGGGCCATATAAAAATCTCAGCAAATCTGTGGGCCAGAGAAGAAGTGTGTTTTTATTGCTATAACCTGAGCTGACCATTGTTTATTCAAAATACACAAAAACATCAACAAAAAAAATTAGACACTTGTAGTAGACCTTGAAATATTACATAAATACTTGAAATATTCAAAATTTAAATGTCCCCAGGACCTTGGTCTTTTAGACCTACCTGTTTTCTTCAACTAGACACCTGGCATCTTTTCATTAATACAGTTCTCTGTGCTGGCACCCAGGTGGTGGAACGAACTCCCACTGGCTGTCCGTACAGCGGAGTCTCTCGCTGTCTTCAAACACAGACTGAGGACTTATCTCTTTATACAGCACTTAAATGAGCACTGAGTTAAGTATTGATTGTAATGTATTGTACTGCACTTATGTATTGTAGTGTATTGCACTGCTGTGTTTAACTCTGCTCCTTTTTCTCTAGGTGTCAATAATGACTTTCTGATTCTAGCAGTATCTGAGCTCAGCTCAGCTTTCTCTCTAACCTATTGGTAACTAGCAAAGATACTTTCTCTAGATAGACAAAGCACTTTTTGTAAGTCGCTCTGGATAAGAGCATCTGCTAAATGCTGTAAATGTAAATGTAATATTTGGGCTCAATTTCTGAGCTGCTGAGCAAATGTTAAGTGCATATTGTATATAATGTATGTATGTATGTCATGTATATAATATAGTATATTGGTTGAACTGCAGCTGAAATGCAGCTAGTGTATTTGGTGATATGACTGGTGTGGAATTGTGTAGAATTGTGGTGTAACTGCTGTCCCATAGATTGTTGTTGGGGAGGAGAGTCAGAGCACACATTACTTTGCAGTGCATGCTGGGGACTGTAGTGCAGCGCATTGTGAAACGGGCTAATATTAATAGAAAATTAAAATACTTTTGTGGGTCGGATAGGATTGTGTCACGGGCCTGATCCAGCCTGCGGGCCTTGTGTTTAGACATACGAGCTTTAGACTGATGTAAATACAACAGAGCTGATTGGCTGCCTCATATTGTGCCTCATTCAAAAAGCAGTCTAAGCTAAAACACTCCTTATAACTTCAGCGTAAGTGGGTGGGGCTGAAGTGCTGTGGGCTGAATAGACCGATGTATGCAATCACAAAATAATGAACTGAAAAGGGCTGTTTTTGCTGCTTAGTTCTATACGTGTACTATGTTTACATACCATCATTAAAAAAAATGAAAGTGAATGAAAAAACAGACCACGTTTTTGCCAAGTCTGTTTTTAATGTGTACCAATTCTCTAAACCACGTTGAGAGCAACAGACCTCATTCACATTTCCATTGACAGTATAAGGTCTCAAGCTTGATCATAAATATAGTATAAATGTTTCAGTTGTCCCAGAAGGCAAAACTGCTAACAAGAATAACCCTCATCACAAAGATACGGCAAGACAATATTAGTCAGCAGAAGCCCTGAGGCATCATGCGATATCAAATCCAGATTGCAGGAAAAACAACAAAATATATTTTCTATAATAGCAAACAAGAAAAGTTTTAATAAAATCATAACAAAACAGCCATGTGATCAAAACTTTGAATTTAATGTAACTGGAGATATTCAACAGTTTGGTACAAAACTGAGCATAACATTACTCCACCAAGCATCGGTCGGCAAGTTTACGCCATCAAAATCATGAGGAACACACAGAGGAACATCAGAGAACATGAATAAATACTAAAGGTGTGTCTGAGTAGCACAGACCTCAATCAGGTCAGTAACCTACATACCCTTTATGTACAGCATTCACCAAAAAAGACAGTGTTTCAGCACCAGGGGACCAAATGCACTGCACAACTGTGAGTTTCCCTACTTCAACTCACTGGATATTCTGAGCTGAGTCAGGAACACTGTTGGATTAGGAATAAGACCCACTGCACTGGTACGACAGGCTGAAAATCAGTATGTATTATGTGGCACATGAGTCTGGATAATTTGCTTTGATAAAAATGAACATTAGATTTCCTCCCACTCTATTCTCACTGAGAAAATTCTGTGAGAAGCAATGTGAACAAGCCACAAAGGCTTTGCACACAATATCCACAGTGACGTGTTGCTACTCCACACTTAAAAACTTCCTCTTTTTGGCCGTGCGCGTGTACGCATGGTGGCGCCACTCCACATCCGCTGTGTTCTCGTTCTCCAGAGTGCCCAGCTTGATCATGTACACTGAGAACGAGACGGAAGAGACAAAATCGTGTGTTATTCAAAAAAGGAACAAATTAATCAAATCAAATGTCACAGTTACTGCAAGCTGTAGTTGTGGGCGGTATGGCCAACAATCTATTAGTTTTCCTATACACAGAAGTCGTACACATCAATTTTCTATGAAATAAAATGAAAATTGCATGCAAAACAATTTAGCAGAGTGCTGGTGATTTATCATCTATACCAGTATATTGTGATACTGACATACCAAGTGATCCCGTTTTCCAGTTTTAGTGATTTCTGTGGATACTGATTTAAACTGTTTTAAATGTAGCCCTGAGTCTGTGTGGACAAGGGTTTTTTTGTGCACTTTGCTCATGGTATCAGAGTCCTGATGGTTAACTGTAAGTCATTTGCTTAAAATCCATCAAAACAAGAAAAATCATAAAGCATAGGTTCATAAACTTTATTAATGCTAAACTTTAATATATCTAAAACTGTGACACCAGAATATACTGGAAAATGTCATGACATTGAATTTTATCAATACTGCCCACTACTAACGTAACACATAGACAACTTACCTATTGTGAGAAAAAAAAAAGGTCTACAGTAGTAGGCTAATTTTTTTAACACCAATTTTTCATACACATATATATACATACATACACACACACACACAATTTTTTCCGTCTGTATTAGACATATATACACGTGTGTGTATGTGTCAGACAGAAAAAATAAGGCGTGAAATGTGTGTATATATATATATATATATATATATATATATATATATATATACATACATACACACACACACACAATTTTTTCCGTCTGTATTAGACATATATACACGTGTGTGTATGTGTCAGACAGAAAAAATAAGGTGTGAAATGTGTGTATATATATATATATATATATATATATATATATATATATATATATATATATATATATATATACATACACACACACACACACACACACACACACACATATATATATATATATATACATACATAAACACACGCACTACACTAAATCCAATTAAATAGAATTGACTGTGATCTCCTTGTTATAAAACATACAACTGGGAAGTGTTTACGTAATGATGATATCCTTGATGTGCTCAGAAAAACATAATTTAGCACCATAACGACAAACATTGTTGGAACATTTACTTCAGTAAGTGAAACAGCTTTAAGTGTACAGTGTCCAAATTGCTTACATTTCATTTCAAATCTGGGTCCAACTTCTGTCAGCTCAATGTTCTTGTGGTCAGTCTTCTTGTAAGTGTGATGTCTGTAACATACAAGAGGGTTTTAAGCGGAAATGCACTTGATAAGATAAGCTGTGCAGGTCTCTACACACGAACACCAACAGGTTTTCCTAATTAAACTTCATGTGTAAAATAAATCAGCTTCAGCCCGTCTTCATATATCGGTAAATTAAATAACCTTTTTTTTTTATATGAGTGAAGAATAACAGATGCTCATATCGAAACATGCATAACAGAGACGTTGATATTATAACTTTAAAACTGACTACACTACACTTATTACAATTGTTCACAGTGGTGGTGATAGGACCCAGGAAGTGTTTAAAGCCTTTAAAAGTTAACTCTCAGAAAGGTATTAAGCAAAATGGTTATGAATATGCAGCCTGATGCATGAAACATATCTTGAGATGATTTTGAGAAAATATTTCCCTAAAATGTATTATTTTTATCCTATTCCTGATAGACAGGGAAGTGTATCGTGATGCAAAACAGGCTCCTGAAAAAAATAAATTTTTTTTTTAGATGCATCACTATTTTATCATTATCAGCATAATTTATAATGTATAAAAATACAGATGACATGTTTTGGATAGTAAATAAAATGGCTGTATTTGCAATTTGACAGTTTCTCTACATTCAACCATTTCACATCAAACCACTCTGAATGACTTTGTTTACATGTAGATGATTAATTTACCCAGACATTTTCAAAAATCGAAAAAACCTGAAGACCCATCCACTGAAAGGGTCTTACAGTGTGGTTCTTCATTGGCCTTTTTTGGCACTGTGTTTGTTTTTACAGACTAATTCTCAAGCTACACAAAGTGACTGGAGTACCAAATTAAGACAGCAAGAAGAGGCCATCAACTGAAAAACAAGCAGATAGAACAAAAACTCACCGGAAGGAGATGAAGTCATCTTTATTAGCGAACGTCATAACACGTCTGCTGTCCTCTTTGGGTACAGGAAACAGGTACTTCAGGATGTTGGACACCTGTGTGTGAGAATCTCTATGAGGTTCAGTCTCAGTACTGCCTCTTAAAGCCTGGCCAACAAAACATTCTTCACCAAACAAAAATCCCAAACGCCACGACTGTCACATATTTTCTAAATATTCTCGACCATTCACACTGTTCTAGAACATTAGACACCATTCACACTGTTCTAGAACATTAGACACCATTCACACTGCTCCGGAATATGATACCCCCCCATTTACACTGTTCTAGAATATTATACCCTCCATTCACACGGTTCTAGAATATTATACCCTCCATTCACACTGTTCTAGAATATTATACCCCCCATTCACACTGTTCTAGAATATTATACCCTCCATTCACACTGTTCTAGAATATTATACCCTCCATTCACACTGTTCTATAATATTATACCCCCATTCACACTGTTCTAGAATATTATACCCTCCATTCACACTGTTCTAGAATATTATACCCCCCATTCACACTGTTCTAGAATATTATACCCCCCATTCACACTGTTCTAGAATATTATACCCTCCATTCACACTGTTCTAGATTATACCCTCCATTCACACTGTTCTAGAATATTATACCCTCCATTCACACTGTTCTAGAATATTATACCCCCCATTCACACTGTTCTAGAATATTATACCCCCCATTCACACTGTTCTAGAATATTATACCCTCCATTCACACTGTTCTAGATTATACCCTCCATTCACACTGTTCTAGAATATTATACCCTCCATTCACACTGTTCTAAAATATTATACCCCCCATTCACACTGTTCTAGAATATTATACCCCCCATTCACACTGTTCTAGAATATTATACCCCCCATTCACACTGTTCTAGAATATTATACCCTCCATTCACACTGTTCTAGAATATTATACCCTCCATTCACACTGTTCTAGAATATTATACCCTCCATTCACACTGTTCTAAAATATTATACCCCCCATTCACACTGTTCTAGAATATTATACCCCCCATTCACACTGTTCTAGAATATTATACCCCCCATTCACACTGTTCTATAATATTATACCCCCCATTCACACTGTTCTAGAATATTATACCCCCCATTCACACTGTTCTAGAATATTATACCCTCCATTCACACTGTTCTAGATTATACCCTCCATTCACACTGTTCTAGAATATTATACCCTCCATTCACACTGTTCTAAAATATTATACCCCCCATTCACACTGTTCTAGAATATTATACCCCCCCATTCACACTGTTCTAGAATATTATACCCCCCATTCACACTGTTCTATAATATTTTACCCTCCATTCACACTGTTCTATAATATTATACCCTCCATTCACACTGTTCTAAAATATTATACCCCCCATTCACACTGTTCTAGAATATTATACCCCCCATTCACACTGTTCTAGAATATTATACCCCCCATTCACACTGTTCTAGAATATTATACCCTCCATTCACACTGTTCTAGAATATTATACCCCCCATTCACACTGTTCTAGAATATTATACCCTCCATTCACACTGTTCTATAATATTATACCCCCATTCACACTGTTCTAGAATATTATACCCTCCATTCACACTGTTCTAGAATATTATACCCCCCATTCACACTGTTCTAGAATATTATACCCCCCATTCACACTGTTCTAGAATATTATACCCTCCATTCACACTGTTCTAGATTATACCCTCCATTCACACTGTTCTAGAATATTATACCCTCCATTCACACTGTTCTAGAATATTATACCCTCCATTCACACTGTTCTAGAATATTATACCCCCCATTCACACTGTTCTAGAATATTATACCCCCCATTCACACTGTTCTAGAATATTATACCCTCCATTCACACTGTTCTAGATTATACCCTCCATTCACACTGTTCTAGAATATTATACCCTCCATTCACACTGTTCTAGAATATTATACCCTCCATTCACACTGTTCTAGAATATTATACCCTCCATTCACACTGTTCTAAAATATTATACCCCCCATTCACACTGTTCTAGAATATTATACCCCCCATTCACACTGTTCTAGAATATTATACCCCCCATTCACACTGTTCTATAATATTATACCCCCCATTCACACTGTTCTATAATATTATACCCCCCATTCACACTGTTCTAGAATATTATACCCCCCATTCACACTGTTCTAGAATATTATACCCTCCATTCACACTGTTCTAGATTATACCCTCCATTCACACTGTTCTAGAATATTATACCCTCCATTCACACTGTTCTAAAATATTATACCCCCCATTCACACTGTTCTAGAATATTATACCCCCCATTCACACTGTTCTAGAATATTATACCCCCATTCACACTGTTCTAGAATATTATACCCCCATTCACACTGTTCTATAATATTATACCCCCCATTCACACTGTTCTATAATATTATACCCCCCATTCACACTGTTCTATAATATTATACCCCCCATTCACACTGTTCTAGAATATTATACCCCCCATTCACACTGTTCTAGAATATTATACCCCCCATTCACACTGTTCTAGAATATTATACCCCCCATTCACACTGTTCTAGAATATTATACCCTCCATTCACACTGTTCTAGAATATTATACCCCCCATTCACACTGTTCTAGAATATTATACCCCCCATTCACACTGTTCTATAATATTATACCCTCCATTCACACTGTTCTATAATATTATACCCTCCATTCACACTGTTCTAAAATATTATACCCCCCATTCACACTGTTCTAGAATATTATACCCCCCATTCACACTGTTCTATAATATTATACCCCCCATTCACACTGTTCTAAAATATTATACCCCCCATTCACACTGTTCTAGAATATTATACCCCCATTCACACTGTTCTATAATATTATACCCTCCATTCACACTGTTCTATAATATTATACCCCCCATTCACACTGTTCTAGAATATTATACCCCCATTCACACTGTTCTATAATATTATACCCCCCATTCACACTGTTCTATAATATTATACCCCCCATTCCAAATGTTCTAGAATGTTCTCCCCAGTTCAGAGTTCTAGAATGTTTTCTCCCTTTCACACTGTTCTGGAACGTTCTCATTAAGATGTTGCTGTTTGGTGGGGATTGCTGTATTTGTGTTCTCTGTGTTTTAAGTAATGGTGGAAAAAAAGAAAACATCACAACACTTGACATTTACTTGATACACTCGATAACAATTTCATGATATACTCTATGTATGATTAAGTGAAACTGAGGTTTGCGATCAAGCTGGAACACTTGATATATATATATATATATGTGTTTGTGTGTGTAATGGTGTGAAAAGCATAGAGACAAAACTGATAACAATAATGTTAAAATATGGTCACTTATATTAATTTTCTGTGGATTTCTTCTGATAGATTAAGTCTGCCCATTTACTACATTAAAACCTAATTTCCACTGGAAAAGCTGGAGGCATGTGTAACAATAATACTACACTAATTTTAAGAGAGACCCACAGTAGAGCAAGTCAGCACATAATAAGTTGGCAAAAACATGTTTAGCACATCAGGAGCTTATCTTGACGATCTGCTAAGGCCAGAATCTTACTAAAATGCTAAAATGCAATAAGGATTGGGGGTTTTGCTGGTTTTACTTCCTATTTTGAAACAGCTGAACATTTAATCTTGCATGTGTGAAACCTCACATAGGAAATAAAACAGCGAGATTGATTCCCTGATATTCAGATACCACTAGATACTATTTAAAATACCACTATGTAACCATTTCATGCTTGCCAGACCCAAACATTTGGAAAATGAGGCACTTTTTTAATCAGAAACATAATTAATTTTCTTAATTATCTAGCATGTCTTCCATCTTTCTTAAAAAGAGCGCTGAGACTCACCCGCCTGCCCAGACGAGAGGTGAAGTTGTGAAAGATGAGGTGAGGGAAGGCCTCGGACATGGTGCCAATGTCTGGGACATCATGTCTCATTACTACATTGTACAGAGTGAAGTATGCTGTTGGTCCAAAGGGAAGGTGGCACACGACCAAACCGTCTAGGAAACAAGAGACACACTGTATGTCACGGTACAGCACAACCTCAAGCGAATACCTGCGACCGTACCACAGGTTCAATGTTGATGTATATTAGCTTTGGAAATAATTAAAAAAAAAAGAGATTATCAACATTCTGCAAATAAACAACTCCACTCAATCAGCAGATCAGCCTTCACAGATCTAGATACTTTTATATTTCACCATCATTACATGTTTTGTTGATTTTCTATGTGAGAAAGTAAGCATACATGCTCTAGAGCCAATGTATCAAACACTAGGCCCGCAGGCCAAGTCGGGCCCGTCACACAGTCCTGTTCGGCCTGCCAAATTATTTTAATTTTCTATTCTTATTAGCCCGTTTCACCCTAAGATGCACTACAGTTCCCAGCATGCACTGCAACACAGCGTGCGTTCTAACCCCCTTCTCCCAACAACAATCTATGGGCCAGCGGTTACACAAAAAGAAAAGATGCCTGGTGTCTAGTTGAAGCAAATAGGCAGTTTAAAAAAAAAAACTAGCTAAAACAATTTTTTAAAATTTAGTATTTAATGCATATTTTGTAGTTTTGGCATATTTTGAATAAACAATGGCCCTGTTGAGTCATGGCAAAAAGTTAAGCGAAAATGAAATAAAAACACAGCTGCCCCACGGATTCGCTGCGATATTTTATATATGGCCCTCTTAGTGGTTGCGTTTGACACCCCTGCTCTACAGAGAACACACTTCTGCACATTTTAATGCACAATTACTGTTTTTACTGTCAAATACTGTTTGTATTTGCTGAACACAAGATACTACGAAAAATAAAATGTGAAAATTGACCCGTGTAAACATTATGGCACATTTAATATTTCATAATTTTATTTCCCAATTTTAATTTTGCAATACGTTAACATCAATAAATAAAACTGTATAAATTGTAAATAAAACGTATAAACTGACTAAGGGTGTCTGCATACATTCTAGAAAGTATAAATGGGGATAGGTGGGGGGAGGGGCATTCTAGAAACATGTAAATTCTTGCACTTTTTGCACAAATTTTAGTGCACAATAACTTTTGCATTTTTTTTCAATATGCTACATTCAGCAAATCAACTGTAACTGTGCATCATTATGTGCAGAAGTGTGTTCTCTGTAGATGGTGTTCACCTACTTTCACTTAGAACATCAACAAAATATGAAATGTTACCAGGGGTGCCTAAACTTTTGCATACGACTGTACACTGCGGGTTAGGACAGTTCTGCCTGCAAAGTTGTTGTGAAAGCATGGTTTGTTAGTGTTGTAGCTGAAACCGTTAGAGGTGAGCCCGCAACGGTGGTAAGACTAAAAGATATTTTTCTGTTCCTTTTTCTCAAACGTTACGTTAAGCTTTATAAAATGAAACAGAATCCCAGTGAGGACGGCTCGGACCTCTTATTCACCCGTCAGTGCAGATTCTATTTAAAGATGTACAGAAAGGACTGTTTTATTGTTTTTATTCTTTTGCTATAAGGACTTCTGTAGTGGCAAATTTACAACACAGCAACATCTGGGTACCTTCCCATCACAATACACTTGGGGGGAAGGGAGATGACCGACTGCTACTTCAATATTTAAAAAGAATTTTAAAAAACAGGCATATATCTGCATTTAGCTAACTCTGCTGAACTTTGAGTAAGCTCCTGCACACAGTGTATCAATTAATATAAGATATGAACAGCACAAATCAGGCTAACAAGCAAGCTTGTTTTCCACAAGATGCCAAACAGCACTGCAGAACATGGCACCGATTAGGCATAACATTATGACCACCTCCTTGTTTCTACTCTCATTGTCCATTTTATCAGCTCCACTTACTATACAGGAGCACTTTGTAGTTCTACAGTTACAGACTGTAGTCCATCTGTTTCTCTGCACACTTTGTTAGCCCCCTTTTACCCTGTTCTCCAGTGGTCAGGACCCCCATGGACCCTCACAGAGCAGGTACTTTTTGAGTGGTGGATCATTCTCAGCACTGCAGTAACACTGACGTGGTGGTGGTGTGTTAGTGTGTGTTGTGCTGGTACGAGTGGATCAGACACAGCAGTGCTGCTGGAGTTTTTAAACACTGTCCACTCACTGTCCACTCTATCAGACACTCCTACCTTGTCAGTCCACCTTGTAGATGTAAAGTCAGAGACGATAGCTCATCTGCTGCTGCACAGTTTGTGTTGGTCATCCTCTAGTCCTTCATCAGTGGTCACAGGACGCTGCCCACAGGACGCTGTTGGCTGGATATTTTTGGTTGGTGGACTATTCTCGGTCCAGCAGTGACACTGAGGTGTTTAAAAACTCCAGCAGCACTGCTGTGTCTGATCCACTCAGACCAGCGCAACACACACTAACACACCACCACCACGTCAGTGTTACTGCAGTGCTGAGAATGATCCACCACTCAAAAAGTACCTGCTCTGTGAGGGTCCATGGGGGTCCTGACCACTGGAGAACAGGGTAAAAGGGGGCTAACAAAGTGTGCAGAGAAACAGATGGACTACAGTCTGTAACTGTAGAACTACAAAGTGCACCTATATAGTAAGTGGAGCTGATAAAATGGACAATAAGCATAGAAACAAGGAGGCGGTCATAATGTTATGCCTGATCGGTGTGTGTATGTATTTAATGTTCATATATAAACATTGTTAACCTGTTATTAACTCGTTTTGGATTAACTGTTGTAATGTCATGAAAACACATTTGCATTTATCTGCCTATTCAGCTTACAGCAGTTTAGCTCTCATTCACACTGAAGTTATAAGGAGTGTTTTAGCCTGGACTGCTTACTGAATAAGGCAGAATTCAGGGCAGCCAATCAGAAAAAGGGGAGTATTTCACAAAGCAGGAATTCTCCGTTATCCTGATAACACCACAGAAAAAAGCAGTCTTAAAGGCAGAGCAACAAAACCAGCCTGTTTAAGGGATAAAGAGAAGCTGGTGAATGGTCACGTAAAAATGAAGCTGTTTTTTGATACATAAAACCACACAACCCTTTTAGTGTTAAGGGCCACTGTGCACTAAAAGGGCTACAACACTTCCAAAAAAGGAAATACATGAGGTTTTGCATTCGACTGGTCTTGTGAATAAGTTGCAAGTCTTCCACACCCCAAGAAAGAAGAAAAGTAGTCTCAAGATGGAGACTATTAATTCAGTCTTAAACTAGCTCTCGGAACTGAGACCAGACTGCATTTTGTCCAATGCATATAAAAATAAGTTCCAACATATTTTTTCACATGGGCTCCATCACGATCGCAGTCACTTACCAGGCTGCCCTCTAGTCTCATGGACTATGATGAGGTCAGTGACGCTGTTGGCCTTGCAGGCGTGTACTAACGAGTTAACTTCATGGTTTCCTCTGTTCATGCGTTGGGCCCCTGGAAACATAAGCTTCACTTCCTGTATAAACATAAAGAAATTCAGCTGACACTTACTACCACATTAACCACAAGCTGATGTTGTTTTATGTGCGGCATGAGAAACAACATGATATCCAGTTAAGATTCAGTAACGATAAAAACACCTGCACGTTGCTGATATCTGATGTACTTAATAATGAATCAATCAATCAATTAATTCAATTTTAAATTCACCCCACCTTAGCAAACATCTTAAGCCTGGAGCTTGGGTCTCTGGAAGTTGTGACCATGATTTTAGGGTCTTCCACACCGGCCCACTTGTATTCATCGTCGATATGAGAGCTGACGCCTGCGATGAGAAGAAGCACATTGCATTAAAGAGATTCACTGGGGGTGGATTTGGTCTCTTTCTGGCTGCAGCTTTGACTAAGAACGCTGCAGATTATCTGTATCAGGATCTGACACACATTCAGTGCTGATTTGCTGATATATTAACTAACGTTACATATCAGCATGTGTGTTTGTGGTTGTGGAACAGGTTTTTTGCCACAAGTGAAAGTGAAGACGTACATACTTTTTGCAGCAAAGAAGTTGTCCCTGATCAACTGAACCCCTTACCACACCTGTATCTGCCTAAACGCACATACATTCTTAGGCAAAAATGGTTCTATATAGGACCAAAAATGGATATATGACAGGCAATAATAGCAAAACCCCTTTCAAAATTTCTCCAATGAAATGGTTAAGATGCAAACAATGTCATTCAGAGTGGTTTGATACAAAATGCTGTTTTAGAGAAACTTACTAAGTCAAAATTGTTCAGTGGTGGTGATAGGAACCAGACGTCTTAAGAGTTTAACGCCTCTAAAAGCTAAGTTATTTCATTAAATGGTTATGAATACGGTTACGATAGTTTTGGTCTAATTCTTTTTTCTTAATTCCAACTACGACATTCGAAATTTGATATTTGCGTATCTGTAAGAGTTTGCGGATGGCTAGCTGGTTAAACAAATGTATATATAGGGCTGTAGGCTTACCTTTTTAGGTGACAGCACTGGTGCTGCCAATAAAACAGCAGCATACAGAATACAGATAAACAGCTTTTATCATCCAAAAACAGCCGAGGTTCACTGTGTTGGATGAGTAACTGAGGCTGCCTCTTCAGATGAGCTAATAACAGAGCTAACCAGTGTCGATTTGGATGCTGATGAGGACTGTTGGATGCTGTTTCTGGACCTGGCTAACATCAGCTACAGCTGTTAGTCTACTTAGCGATAATGCCAGACGCTCTCTGCCTTCTCAGTCAGGTCCATAACAAAGCATCAACAAACTCACGTTCAAGCGCTCGCGTTTCAGACTAGCAATGTATAACATACTCACAAATATGAGCAAAACTGTCATTTCAAGTGTTGGCCTGTATGTTTTCTCTGTCTTCCCGCAATAAAACATAATGAACGGCCAAATAGTGATTTCAGTACTCAAGAGTTGTAAGGCAGCGTAGTAAATATAGCTTCAGAAATTGAAAATATAGAACTGTCAGCACCCCGTGATTATATATACCAGTTTCTGTCAGCTTTTTAATATTTGGTCACATAATCATGAACATGTACAGTGGAAGAAATAGAATGAGAAGTGTTCAACACGTCGACCTTCTTTCTTTTATTAAACTTTTTTAAAAATGCAGCTATTTGCATGAAATTTAGACCAACCACTGGAATTAAATCAATAAAAATACACAGCTAAAACAAACAGTAGTGACCTTAATATATCCGTCAGCCCCTCAGTTTAAACAAACCCAGGTTCTTATATAGGGTATATTGAATACTGTTTCAGACCATTGACTACATATCATCACTGTCCAAAGAAAAACAAGTATTTCCAAAATAGTAACTTTACAGGAGAGGGCAAAAACACCCTTAACTTTTATGTTAATTTAATGTAAAGAGATTTTATTCTGATTTTGAGGCATTTCTATCGGTCCATTCTTCATGATATTTTCACACAAAGTAAAGGAGAACTGCCGTTTTCAAATGACATAGAAAAATAAAAATTGAGATACATGTTCTTCTTTGGACAGCGACGATATACATGCTTGGCCCCATCTATCAGTACTACATTGTACAAACAAACACTTTTTTTTCCATCACAATGCAGCAATACAGGATGCACAGTTGATGTGTGAGTTCATTAGTATGTATATCAAGTGTTTTACAACTGCTTTCTAAAACTTTTCAGAACCTAAACTACCCTGTGTATATTTACATTCCTGATTACAGGCTTGCCAGTTAATAGTTAATTGCAGACCAGTGACGGTCTGTCATTGGTCAAAATAATTTACCAAAATCAGCACAGTTTTACATAGTAATAATGGCTATATTTGTGCTGCAGACATTGCAAGCCCTGGTTCACATCACCACCACTGTAGAGAATCAGAGTCAGTATGTTGATGACCTATTTCACATCAAACCACTCTGAGTGGTTTACATCTCAATAACTGAATTATACAAACATTTAAAGAACCATATACAACAAGGTCTCCATTACTGACCATTATCTTTAGTAGAAATACACTAAGGAACCCCTTATTAAGGATGTAGTTAAACTATAAATCCTTATTATCAGTACCAGAATAGGACTTTCAAGGCTTTTCTTTTTCATCCCTAAATAATCAAAACCGTTCACAATTAATACAATAATTCAAAAACACCCACAGACATGCGATTTCTGTAGATAAGACAATTCCATAAAATGTGTTACCTTCTCCACCCTCATCATCAAACTCCAACAGCTTCTGGAGCTGCAACGCCTCTTTGCGAACTTCAGTGGGTATAAGACGGTTCTCTGTGTGGAGGAAAAGAAAGAGCATCCTGAAAACTCAAACTGCAAAGCAAATGGTGCATAACATCTAAAACTGGAACCAATCCGATACTCAGTACCAACCATAGAAAAGACTTTAGAAGATTAGACCAATTATAGACAGCCTACAACTAATAATCCTCAATGCATAGTATCTAAATAAACTCCACAGTTACACACAGCTGGCTGGAGGTCCTAAATATTTTATGTTTGCAAATGCTGAAAAAGATTTTTATATTCTTTCTGAAATGTGACACTAGTGATTTGCTGGTGCATTTTGTTTGAAAAACCTCATAAAAATATATAGAATACATAATCTAGTATTGTGAAAATGACTTCAACCATCATGTATCAAGTATTTATAATATAAAGACAGGCGTCCTAAAACAGCTTGATATAAAGAAACAAGTACGACTGTAGGCCACGAGAAACAGAATGAAAAAGCAATGCTGGGTTTTTCAGGCCTTTAAAGAAAATACATAAGCCTCACCATCTAATGCGGATTTGAGTTTCTCTTTCTTCTCCTCGATGGAGCGCAGTCTGTCCTCCTGGGCCTTCCTGTACAGGTACTCCTTCCTGAGCCGGACCTCGCGTCGAAGCTGCACCAAAACATTCAGCAAGATTATTTCACCAGAACACAGATTATTTCACCAGAACACAGATTATTTCACCAGAACACAGATTATTTCAGCAGATCACAGATTATGTTGGGCCCTGGGCTGTGAAGCACTATCAACAAACCAGCACTAAACCGTAAGCGTAGTTGAGGTATTCGCACAGATATTTGATACTTGTGCAACACTGGCTCACTGTCACTTTTCAATCTAACCCTCGTTGTCCTTAACTGTTGTACTTTTCCTGGGAAGTGTTGCCAAACCGGAGATGAGTCTGAGTTCACATCACTTCTTCTAACTAAAGCTCATTTTTCCAATCACCATTTCAAACAGCTTGGCTAATCATCCATCCAATGTAACCAATGCTTAAGTCAGCTTCTTATCTGAATTCTCCTCCAGAGATTCACCAGAGCATAACTGATGCACCATTTAAGGTGGAATAGAAAATCTGGGTAAGAAGTTGGCGAATAAGAAGCTAATTTCAGCTTTGTGCAAGGTAGGCTAACCAAAGCAGTGTTTCCAGTTCCGAGAGCTGCACAGCAAAGATTTTTTACGTTCATGGTTATAACATTTTAGAATTATCATGGATATTAAATAGGCCTATACAAACCATTCTCTATATCACACATCTTATAGCATGATATCTAACGGTATTCGATACAGTGCTTATCATCTTAAGACCCCGTTTAGGGAAAAAAAAAAATTTTGTATATATATATATATATATATATATATATATATATATATATATATATATATATGTAAAACGTGCATTGTAAACAAAGTCATTAAAGTCATTAAGAGTGGTCGGATGTAATATAATGCATTGTAGAGAATCTCAAATAAAACACATTTTCTTTTGGGGACTACTTTTCCTTACAACACCCTGCAGATTCTGGATTGTTAAAAAAAAAAAACAAACAAAAAAAACATGTTAAGGCTAATTTCACATCAAACCACTCCGAATGGCTTTGTTACATCTTAACCACTTAATTATGCAGAATTTTAAAAAACAGGGAAATTCCCCTTTAACAGACTACCTCAGTCCAAGACTGGGTTGTGTCCAGATAACCTGACCCATGAGATTTAACCAATATTCTCCAACTACATCCAACTCCCAGTGTTATGACAGGTATTGGGAAGTAATAGGGTTTCAAAAAGTTTCTCCAGGTTTCAGGATGCTTAAAAATCTTGTACCTCTGTGTAACAGATCTCACTCTTAATGTAAGCCAGACGGACAGAGGTAGACAGCAGTAACTTTCCACACACACTGGACTGTTATATTACACACACATGTTTTTAAGTCTCTTGTTTGCTAATGCTTAGTTATACATGTAGTAAACTGCAGTAAAAAGTCTGGTCTCTTATGATGATCCTTCTTCCTTAGAATTGAGCAGTTTAATGAAGATCCAAGATCAATGTTTTCTATCAGCGCATAAAAACTATTCCTGACTATCTGTAAAAGTTTTTCATACATAACCAGAAAGGACCAGCAAAGGTATCCCAATTTCACAATATTTGCACAACAGCTAAAAAATGTAATTTCATCTATTCAACATGCCACAAGTCCTACAAAGTATATGCCAATGCCACATGTTTATTCATTCATTCATTTATTAATGCAATGGTAAAACAATAAATAAGTGATTGTAATTGTGTGTTATCAATACACTGATTTTAGTTTAATCAACAGAACAGTCCACCGACATAAATTTAAACATCCCAAATGTTGTCTATTAAATTTGGTGACTCAAGTCCTGGACTACATTTTCCATTCAATGGAGAGTCTCCATTCAGAACCCTGTTTAGTCCAGGATAAGGCTTAATCCCTGGTCTATGAAACCAACCTACAGACTTTACTAGACTACTTTACCTTGGCTACATTAACTTCAGTGCAAAACAGAAAACATCTTGGTTAATCAACAAAAATTTACAAAGTGAAAGACATTTTAAACAAAGAGGAAAGTGAAGGACACGTTACCTCTTTGTTTAAAATGTCTTTCACTTTGTAAATGTAAAATCAGTGGGACACAAACCCCGTTTGTGGATTCATCCAGTTCGTTAACCAAGATGTTTTCTGTTCTGCATTGGAGCTAATGTGGCCAAACATGAGTGCATTGTTCAGATAAAGACCTTAAAACATCAACAAAACCTATCTACAGCGCTTAGAAACCAGTTTTTGGCTTCACCTTGAAATATAATCGTTAAAATACATGAAATCTTAAAAAAACCTTTGTCATGAGTCTTTCATAATCGGTTACAAAAAAAAGTACCTTACCCTGTTATTGCGTAATAGATATTGTCTCTAAGATGGGTTAATACATTTTTGAAAGGTTAAATGCATGATTTCTTAGATTCAACAATGAGAGTTTTTAAGATTTTTAAGATTTACAAGGGCTACATGGCACCCCAATCATTGAACCACCCAACTACGTATAGGGTGAGAGGGGAAACTCCAAATGTGAATCATTCTTTTAAGCAGTGAGTGCTTTTAAGACAAGACAGAAACAATAACGTACCACACAATCCACGCACAATTCTAAATTATGAATATTATTACATAAATCCGTTTTTCTCCCCGAAGTGGAGCCAATGGCTAGAAGTCCAAATGAGTACTATACTACACAATATAATAATGAGTGGACCACTAATGGTGGGGTGCTCTTTTTACATACTGAGTAAATCATCGATATCGTCCGTCCTTAAAAAACACTGACCAACTACATGTTTGAATACATGAAGAGCATAATTAGTCCTGTTTAACTGAATTCACTGGAGTGCAGTGTATGAAATGTTGAATATACGTGAATATAGTACGCCCCTACTTTGTCTGTTTTAACTTAAAAGAAAAATTAATATCATGAGATACTGTGTATCGTAAAAGCTTCTCGAAGTATCACGACCATACACTTTATCGCCCATCTCTACTGTGTACTGTACTGTGGTGTGGAGTACTGTAGGGTACTGTATTGTAATGAAGTGTTGTGTACTGCAGTGTTGTGTACCGTGGTGTAGTGTACAGTACTGTAGTGAACTGTTAGGTGTTGTGCATTGCAGTGAAACGCAGTGTATTGTAATGAAGTGTACTGTAGTGCATTGTAGTGTACTGCAGTGTTGTGTACCGTAGTGTTGTATATTGTAGTGTACTGTAGTGTAGTGAACTGTAGTTAAGTGTTGTGTACTGCAGTGTTGTGTACCGTAGTGTTGTATATTGTAGTGTACTGTAGTGTAGTGAACTGTAGTTAAGTGTTGTGTACTGCAGTGTTGTGTACCGTAGTCTAGTGTACTGCACATTAGTGTACTGTAGTAGTGTACTGTAGTATAGTGTACCGTAGTGTCGTGTACTGTAGTATAGAGTACTGTAGAGAAGCATACTGTACTGTAGTGAACTGCAGTTAAGTGTTGTGTACTGTAGTTTAGTGTAGTGTACTGTAGTAAAGTGTACTGTAACGTTAGTTTAGTGCACTGCAGTGTTGTGTACTGTACTGAATCACACTGTAGTATAGTGAACTGTTGTATAGTGCACTGTAATGAAGCATATTGTAGTGCAGTGAACAGTAGTTAAGGGTTGTGTACGGTAGTGTACTGAACTGTAGTTAAGTGTTGTGTACTGTACTGTAGTTTAGTGTAGTGTAGTGAACTGTAGTTAAGTGTTGTGTACTGTACTTTAGTTTAGTGTAGTGAAGTGTAGTGAAGTGTTGTGTAGTGTAGTGTAGTGAACTGTAGTTAAGTGTTGTGTACTGTACTGTAGCTTAGTGTAGTGAACTGTAGTTAAGTGTTGTGTAGTGTAGTGTAGTGAACTGTAGTTAAGTGTTGTGTACTGTAGTTTAGTGTAGTGAACTGTAGTTAAGTGTTGTGTACTGTAGTTTAGAGTAGTGAACTGTAGTTAAGTGTTGTGTACTGTACCATAGTGTAGTGAACTGTAGTTAAGTGTTGTGTACTGTAGTGTAGTGTAGTGATGTGAACTGTAGTTAAGTGTTGTGTACTGTAGTTTAGTGTAGTGAACTGTAGTTAAGTGTTGTGTACTGTACCGTAGTGTAGTGAACTGTAGTTAAGTGTTGTGTACTGTAGTGTAGTGTAGTGATGTGAACTGTAGTTAAGTGTTGTGTACTGTAGTTTAGTGTAGTGTAGTGAACTGTAGTTAAGTGTTGTGTACTGTAGTGTAGTGTAGCGTAGTGTAGTGTAGTGAACTGTAGTTAAGTGTTGTGTACTGTAGTTTAGTGTAGTGTAGTGAACTGTAGTTAAGTGTTGTGTACTGTAGTGAAGTGAACTGTAGTTAAGTGTTGGGTACTGTAGTTTAGTGTAGTGTAGTGAACTGTAGTTAAGTGTTGTGTACTGTAGTTTAGTGTAGTGAACTGTAGTTAAGTGTTGTGTACTGTAGTGTAGTGTAGTGATGTGAACTGTAGTTAAGTGTTGTGTACTGTAGCGTAGTGTAGTGTAGTGAACTGTGGTTAAGTGTTGTGTACTGTAGTGTAGTGTAGTGTAGTGATGTGAACTGTAGTTAAGTGTTGTGTACTGTAGTGTAGTGTAGTGTAGTGATGTGAACTGTAGTTAAGTGTTGTGTAGTGTAGTGAACTGTAGTTAAGTGTTGTGTACTGTAGTGTAGTGTAGTGATGTGAACTGTAGTTAAGTGTTGTGTACTGTAGTTTAGTGTAGTGAACTGTAGTTAAGTGTTGTGTACTGTACCGTAGTGTAGTGAACTGTAGTTAAGTGTTGTGTACTGTAGTGTAGTGTAGTGATGTGAACTGTAGTTAAGTGTTGTGTACTGTAGTTTAGTGTAGTGTAGTGAACTGTAGTTAAGTGTTGTGTACTGTAGTGTAGTGTAGCGTAGTGTAGTGTAGTGAACTGTAGTTAAGTGTTGTGTACTGTAGTTTAGTGTAGTGTAGTGAACTGTAGTTAAGTGTTGTGTACTGTAGTGAAGTGAACTGTAGTTAAGTGTTGGGTACTGTAGTTTAGTGTAGTGTAGTGAACTGTAGTTAAGTGTTGTGTACTGTAGTTTAGTGTAGTGAACTGTAGTTAAGTGTTGTGTACTGTAGTGTAGTGTAGTGATGTGAACTGTAGTTAAGTGTTGTGTACTGTAGCGTAGTGTAGTGTAGTGAACTGTGGTTAAGTGTTGTGTACTGTAGTGTAGTGTAGTGTAGTGATGTGAACTGTAGTTAAGTGTTGTGTACTGTAGTGTAGTGTAGTGTAGTGATGTGAACTGTAGTTAAGTGTTGTGTAGTGTAGTGAACTGTAGTTAAGTGTTGTGTACTGTAGTGTAGTTTAGTGTAGTGTAGTGAACTGTAGTTAAGTGTTGTGTACTGTAGTGTAGTGTAGTGAAGTGAACTGTAGTTAAGTGTTGTGTACTGTAGTTTAGTGTAGGGTAACGTTACTATGTAGTAAGTAGTATGCAATTGTGGACGCAGCCACGGTCCCATCAGAGAGAGTTTATTAGGTTCCCTTTACCGGAGAACGTGGATTTGGTTCCTACCTTCGTACAAAGGCAGTTTACAAACTTACATATTGATATCGATGGGTCATTTAAATCCCCACACTAAACACTCCATAAGAATACTAAAATATCACACGCTACACGGTAAATCATTTAACCTACGGCTGGTGAAAACTCCACAGTGCTCTCAGACTATATGACTCCTGACTTGTCGCGTTTCTTAAACAGAACCATTTAAATATTTAAGCGTTACTGATCACGGAGCACTATGAACACAGGCGACGTCACACAGCCGCGGGCTAAAGAACACAGGTTATAGCGTTAGTGAGCGACTCTCGGAGGTATCAGAGCTGTGATGCCGTTACGTTAATTAATACACAGCCAAGGCGGCTCTATGAACTCAACATGCGGTATGTTAAATAAGGTTAATAGCAGATCTTCGTCTCACCATCCTGCACCTCTATTCCTCCACTTCACTCACACGTGCTGCGTTCATGAGCGACCGCCTCCTCTCGCTGCTTCCTACTGGACAATGCTTTCAGCCACTTTCAAAATAAAAGTCTCTCATTCGAAATGCAGGCGTGCGCATGAGCCGTAACTTTTCACTGAACCCCAAAACAAACTTTATCATTGAAATTTAAATTATTGGAAAAAATACATATTTTTATTTTTTATCCCAAGATAAAAATAATTTTTCAGTTTTTTTTCCAATAAAATGAAAGTGAAAATCTAAAAATGGAACTAACATGTACAGAGTTGCTATCTTCAGTAAAACATGTCAACAAGGTGAGTTTAAAAAAGTTTAGCTTTTTAAGTAAATATAAATTTAAAAAAAAAAAAAGTTAATACATTGAGTTTAAAAGTAATGGTGACTTTTCCTTTGACCCAACATCAAACATTTTTTTTTTTAATTACATTGAATAAAACAACTGCACATTTTTTCCCTTTGTCCTGTGCTTTGGAGCAGTATAAGTGACTTTCTTTAAAAAGCAAACAGTTGCTGTTTTATGCACAAAAAAAGCTTTTCACAGAAAAAAGTTTCACAGAAGAAATAAATCCAAGGTAAATGAATAATTTGACTTTAAAAGTAAAGATGACTTCTCCTTGTTGCATTATTTCAGTATTAATCAGTTGTATGTATATATATATATATATATATATATATATATATATATATATATATATATATATATATATTTAAAGCAGTTATGTTAAAAAAGTCAACAGTAGTTTTTTCAATATAAATAAGTTCAAATTTGAAAAGTTACTTTGGTTTTGGTTTGGGTTATGAACCATATTGCATGTGTGTACATAAGCTACATAGGTGTTATCTGGGTCGACATCAATGCAGCCACAAACAGGAAAGACCACTGGTGCTAATTTATGTGTTTGCTTTAATGAACAAATACTTGCAACTCACATACGCAAACTGAATAAATGTATGCAAAAGCTGATCCCTGAAAAGAAAGATGAGAGACAGAGAAAGAGAGAGAGAGAGAGAGAGAGAGAGAGAGAGAGAGAGAGAGAGAGAGAGAGAGGGAGGGGTTGGTCATCTAAGAGAGCGAAACAGAGGAAAGAAAGCCAAGAGCCATTTTCTAGTGTCTGTGGCTGGTTACTTCCTGTCATCTTCACTTCCTAAATCCTTCTCCACTATAATAAAAGCAGAAGTGCATTTCGTCTCTGAGTTTGGCTTCAACTATGTCTAAAATGTTCCTGTCAGTGCCACTGGTGTTATTAATCCTCACAGGTAAGATATATATATACACACATATATGTTCACACATATACATACAGATAGAGTAGTAGCCACAGTATATATCAAAGGCAAAAAGAGTCAAAACTAAGAAGTATAGTTATGTATGAGTGAGATGTGAAAAATCTAATACAAGTAAAAGTTACAGGAAAATGAGTAAATGTTGCATGTATGTTCACTTATAGTGCAGCAGTGATGATGACTGTTCACAGTGTTTTTCTCTATATGTTTAATATATATATAGTGTCCCTAAACATTGTTTAATTAAATACACACTCAAACATGTCGCTGCTGTCAGAACTAAACCTTGTATCTCAATTTTTGTCATTTTTCAGTTTTTGACATATTTTGAAAATGTCTGTTGTCCTTTACATTGTGTGTAAATTTCATGATGAATGGGCCAAAAGGACTTGGAAAAAATTCTGGTTCCATTGACTTACATTAAACATAACGTATGTTTTTTCCCTTTCCTGTAAAGTTACCATTTTGGAGATACAAGGTTTTGTTCCAACAGCATCGATATACATGCAGAGATTCTTATGTATTAAATTAAAGTGTAAATATAAATTTCTACTTATTATATCTGCTGGAATCTTCCAAAAACAGTTCTTTGAGTGAAGCCAGTTTTGTTTCCTCAAAGAACCATGCTTGTGTGAATGTGAAGAATACTGTAATGAAGAAGAACCTCCACATAATGTAAAGGTTCTACACCAATCCAAAGGGTTCTTCTTAGAACATTTACATGATGTGGTTTACTTTGTAAAAGGTTTTCACGCTCACACATCTCATTTGCATAACTGGATTCCCAAGAGCCGTCCATTGAACGGTCTTTAGGGACCGTAAAGTGGTTCTTTTATGGTTCATCACGGCATGCGTGTGTATGTGAGTAACAGCATTGCAATGTTGTAAGCAGAGGTCGGTGAAGTGACCTATAAGTGACCATTTTAATCCACAATTTCGGTGTATTTGTTAACATGTTGGAGAAACAAAACACAAAAGGTGTCATAACTTTTGCTCAGGCTATATTTTATATCTTTTTTCCCCTGAAAATTCAGTTAAATTCACCAAATGAAGAGAAGTTGTGCAAAAAATGTGCAACAACAACAGGGAATTTAATCTGGGGAGCCCACATTTTTGGATAGGACTGTGCTGAAGTTAAAGTACTGTTACTTTGGTGAAATACTGACTTGAGTAAAAGTAAATAAAAGTGTCTTTCCAAAATAACAACATAGTAGTAGATGTAGAAAATTAGCAGCTCAAAAAGCAAAATCAATAAATCAGTCAAGCTTTATTTTAGGGTGACTTCACTGATCAAGGAATTTAAATAAATAAAAGCTCAAAAAAGAAAATAAAACAGACATAAAATAGCAATAAAATACAATGAAAACGAATAAAAAGTAAAGAAAAGAACCACTAAAGAAATTTACAAGTAGAACTGCAGTTAAACTTCTTAGACCATCCAGCGTCTATCAGCACAACAGCTGCAGTTTGTTAAGCTCTGTTCTTCTCCTTTTGGTCTGAAATAATATAATAAAACCTCAAACATCAATAGTGTGACCAATCATAGTGCAGTACAGATAATGAACCATAAGAATGGAATGAAATTTAACATATACAAAGGAATTAACAGTAAAAAGTGGATTCCTTTCATCAGAAATGTACTTAAGCAGAAGTATCTGTCATTCTGAGGAAAACACAATTCCTTACCATTGTACTTACTGAGTAAATGAAACTATTCACTGACCACATCTGCTAATAAGGAAGTGGGTAATATGTGCAGCTTCTTAAGTCTCAGAACAGTGAGATTAAGCTCTGCTTTGGATTTTAAGTACTACATTTGGCCTGTTAACAACACAGACAGTACAGTACTGTGCAAAAGGTGTTTAAAAAAGCAATTTTATAAGGCAATGAATGTTTATTTGCCCAGAATAAACACTAATATTAGAATTAATACAACAGTATTACTATATGTAGTGATTTTATGTTTTATGTAAGTTTGAACACCTAAGTTTTGTTGATATTCTAACTGAAAATAAGTCAACGCATCCTCTACAGAGACACACTTAAATATGGCATTTCTGAAAAAAGTCATAAATAGCAGAGGCTACATTTTATGTTTTTTTTAAATTGAGCAAATCAACAGTAACTGTGCTTTGAAATATGTTCTCTGTAGAGGAATTTGACTAGGGGCGCCCATACTTTTGCACACAACTGTATATACAATAATCTCATTTACTAAGAAACCTTGAAGAACGCCTTTTTAATGTGGTAGATCTACACAGCATCTACGAGTCAAGTTTCATTTGTGTGAGACCCTCAATACGCTGTGTTTGATCAGTTGTTATTCTCTACACTCGGAAATTAACAGCAATAAGTAAATATCACATGAATAAAATATGAATTAGTTATTCTGCCATTGAGGTGGCAAACAGGGTATGAATGTTGATATGTAATTCAAGTGTAAAGCATAGTCTGGTACACTGAACAGCATCAGCAAAGTTAAAACACTGCAGACAAACTTCAAATCTGAAATCTGAAAAATCTGAAATCTGAAAAATCTGAACTATTCCAAAATATAATCCACTGAAGTCACATTGTATATAGGAAATAACAAATATGGCCTTCAAGTTGTTACTTTGTTCCAATGTTAAAATTGCTTAATGTTTCATGAGTCACACCACCGACATTCTCATTGTCACACGTGAAGCTGTCAAAATTTTAGTCAACTTGATCAGAAATGTAAAAAGAAGTTTTGCTAACGGTCGACTACTCAGAGTTCGTCTCTCTTCCTTTGAGATCCATTCAAGAAGTAAATCAAAACAACCTCCCTGTATTTTTCCTCCTTTTTAAAATTGCATTTTATATTTCTCTTACACCACTGACAAAAAATCTTGGGGCAAAATTTATTTTCAAAATAAATATTTGAATATTTGTCCATTTAGTTTAGCAGGGCAGACATTATTTTTAATGCATCTTTACAATTCAAAAGCAACAAAATTCTTGTTTCACGTAAAAACATCAGCGTCTGTGAAGTCGCCCCGTGACCTGCAGTTCTTCATGCATGACATAGGTAAATAAAAATCACTGAAATAAAAATTCAAAAAAAGATTAATCATATTTTTTTTGTCGGTTAATTCTGAAACAGCACTAAGAACACACGCAAGTCAACTTTCTGTGGTTTATTCTTATTTGTGAGCTCATTTTCATGGATTCATTGTTGTGGGACACCACCGCAATGGTACAATGACTCCAATAACACAATTTTGTCAAACTGGCTCACTTTTGGGAGAAAACATGATGATATGATATGTTTTATGAATGTGGAAATGATGTACATATTTACATATAGTCAATTCATTTCTATTATTATTATAATTTTTGGTGTGCCACACTTACAACGTTGTTCGACGGTGCACTGAAGAACACTCATATACAGCTGTATGCGAAAGTTTGTGCGCCCCTGGTCAATTTATTTTGTAAGTGTAAATAAATGAACACATCCTCTACAGAGACACACTTCCACACATTATTAATACACAATAACTGTTTATTTGTTGAATTTAACATATTGGGAAAAAATAAAAATACATAAAGTGTGGCCTGTGCAAAAGTTATATCACATTTTATATATATATTTTTTCCAGTATGTTAAACTCAGCCAATAAATAGAAATTGTGCAGTAAAATCTACAGAAAAACACCATATTTAAGCATGTTCTCTGTAGAGGATGTGTTCACTTATTTTCACTGGTCAGGGCTGCCCAAAGTTTGGCCCACCAGAAAGTTACCCACAGTCAATTCAATACGTCATTTTTTTCAGTGTAGCACACTTAGGACACTGTTTGACCACACGCGGCATATAGAACAGTTATATACAGCCGTATGCAAAAGTTTGCGCGCCCCTGGTCATGTTTAATTAATTTTCTAAGGGTAAATAAATGAACACATCCTCTACAGAGAACACACTTCTGCACATTTTAAATACAAAATAACAGTTTATTTGTTGAATTTAACATATTGGGAAAAATACATATAAATAAATAGAAACAATAAATAGAAATTGTGCAATGAAATTTCATTCAAGTTCTAGGGGGGGGCTGTGTTCACTTATTTTCACTTAGAAAATCAACAATACATGTCATTTGACCAGAGGGTGTTCAAACCTTTGCATACGACTGTATATCAGGGCTGCCCAAAGTTTGGCCCACCAAAAAATTACGCAAAGCCCCCCTCACCAAGAGAGAGCAAACAGATGTTTATACTATGTGTTATATATAGTATAGTTTATATACTAGGATTATAAGTTTATATACTATATAAACTTATAATACAATGTATAATGAAACTCTAATTTTCCTTTTTTTTTAATTGTATTTATGAGTGAAAACACAGTGTGATGTTTTGATTTGAAACCCACCTCCTTTTTTTATTTGTGTATTGTCTTTTTGGCCCACCACAAACATCGCACTTTAGCCTCCCAAGTAAAAAAGTTTGGGCACCCCTGATGTATATCCAGCAAAACCCAGCATGGCTTCTAAATCATCAGCACTTCTTCTATGTTCATGTTTTTTCTGTGTTTCCTATATTTTACTGTATTTAATATTTTTGTTTACTGGTCACATTTTTTCACCGATTTATTCGCTTTCTTAACTTGACTGCCAGATACGTTCTTGGAAGTTATTGTCGCAATAAAAACAGCTCTGATTCTGATATGTGATTATACAAAATGATCATAAAACGATTACAAAACAGTTATGATTATGATAAACGCAAAGCTGTAGGCTGACGGCAAGTGGAAAGTATTATCTGCAGATTATTTTTACAGTAAACTCTGATGAAACAGACACGACTAACACACGGATTTCCTCTGTTCATCTCTGTAGCTTTAAATATGCATGCTGATGTATTAGCAGCACACTGAAAAAAGATGGTTCTTTGAGGGATCTTCAGTAAAGACAATGGTTCTGTATAGATTCTATATACTCATGATTGTAACAATAGAAGAACCCTTTTTGGTGCTATGTTAAACCATTTTCAAAAAGGTTAAATATGTAACATATTGTCCATCTATAGAACCGGTTCACCATGCAAAGAGACATTGGTAAAACTTTCTATGAATGTCACCTTTGTAAGCATCTATAAACACATTTATAACATGTTATAATGTGTTCATAAGGCATTATAAACATGGTTATAAATATTTATAAAAAAGAATTACACCGAATAACATTTTATAGCCATGTTTATTATACATTATGAATTGTTAATATAATGCATTTAAATAGTGTTAATAACATGTTATACTGTCAGTGCCAAAGAAGTCAGTCCCAGCTTGGAGACTGTAAAGTAAAGACAAATACCAAGCTAACGGTGGTGTACATTACCTTTCCCACATTGGGTAAAACACTGATGCAGCTCTAGTTTAAACTCTGACATTTGAAGCCTGTAATGTGCTTTATTGTGAATGTTTTAGTGTTTCAGTAAATCCTTCAGTAAATACTTCAGCTTGAAGCCTCACTCTTAACACTGGAGGAGGCTTTAGTACAGTACGCTTCACTTTACTTAGAGCGGACAAATACAACTTATGAGCTCTTATAATTTGTTATGATCAGTACTTATAATGTATTATGTTAACAGTTCATAATGCATAATAAACATGACTATAACAATTTTTTTTATAAATATTTATAGCTATGTTTATAATGTCTTATGAATGCATTATAACATGTTGTGGATGTGTTTAGAGATGCTTACAAAGGTGACATTCATAGAAAGTGTTACTGAGACATTTAAGCATGCAAATGCTTGAGTGTTCATGGTTCTGTTGTCTTTACTGAAGAACCCTTTAAGAGTGCAGGTTTGGTGTCTTGTAAACTGTCACTGTGATCCTGACTGTGCCTCCTCGCCTCTCGTGTTATGCTCTCTGAAACAGTCTGAGTAATTGATTCTGTACTGCAGCACTTCATATATGAGCTGTAGAGAATTGTTCACACTAAACCGATAGAAGAAGACAAACATTTACAATTAAAACATGCTTTTTGAAACAGTTATGAATTATGTTTTTCATTGGTTTTTTTTTAAGTTTATATGTTTTTTTCAATATATATTACATATCACTGTTGTTGGAACAAAACCTTGTATCTCCAAAATGGTAACTTTACAGGAGAAGGAAAAAACCTACTTTATTTTTATGGAAGTCAATGGAACCAGACTTTTTTCCAAGTCATTTTGGGTCATTTCTTTTTTGGTCCATTCATCATGAAATTTACAAACAATGTAAAGGGCAGCAGGTACTTTCAAATTATGTCAAAAACTGAAAAATGGAGATACAAGGTTTTGTTCCTCCAGCGCTGATTTCTTTTTTTCATTGCTTTAAATTATATAAAGATACAATGAATACTTATAATTTAGGACATTCATAATGATATTCATGATATAACCAACAACAGCTTGAAACCTCTAAAGCCCTGATCGAAACTTTGAATTTCAATGTTTGTCAAATTAGCAGGACATTTATTATGTGCGAAAGCATTTATTTATTTATTTATTTATTTAAAAAGAAATATAGTTCTAAACCTCAGAATAATAACCATCTTCCTTCATTTCCAGCAAACAAACAAACAAACAGTTTCTTTGTGGGACACAAAGAGCAGAGAAATCCTCTAAATCTCTGAAAGAATGAAAAAAGAAGCAAAAGTTTGATGAGGAATCCCATAAATTATTTATATTAGAACATCATTCTTGATTTTATTTATTTATTTATTTATTTACTTATTTAACTACATAAAAGTATAGTTCTCAACCTCACACCAATAAAGATGACCTCTCTCTTCCCAACAAACAAATAACCCATTTTCTTACAACTTAATTTAATGACTGAAAAAGAAAGAAAGAAAGAAAGAAAGAAAGAAAGAAAGAAAGAAAGAAAGAAAGCTCATTTTTATTTATTTAAGAACCATTCCTCCATGCAAACAACGCTTTAAGCAAGCAAATGGTTCTTTAAGTGTTCATGGTTCTATATGGAACCACTGTCTTTGCTAAAGAACCCTTGAAGAATCATTTTTTTTGAGAGTGTATTTATAACAACTTTGGGTATAAGAAGTTCTTCAAAAGAATATCAACTGATGTTAATGGAAAACAAATCTTATATTCCTCTATTAAATGTGGTATTAGTGATAATATGGCATCGTCGTTCACTCCCAACAACATATATCACGAAAAATCATTTGTTATTTGTGCATTTCAGTAACACTTCACTATAGGGCACTGGTCATAAGGCTTTATGACACCTACATAAGCTTGTCATAACAACTGACATAACCCTACATAAATCTTTATAAATGCTTATTCCAATAGGCATTATTCATTATAAAGTTTACACATGCCAGTTTTGATCAGTTAGCTAAAGTAGTTTTTATGACAGATGACGCCTGTTGGAATAAGCATTTAAAACCATTTATGTAGGTTTATGTCAGTTGTCATGACAAGCTTATGTAGGTGTCATATAGCCTTATGAACTGTATCCTACTGTAAAGTGTTACCATCATTTCTAATAATGTGTGGTGGCAAACATGAACTGCGAACTCTGATTTTCATGTCTACAATCACTCAGTACGTCTTAATAGAAATGATTCATCTAAATAAAATGACATAAAAGCTGCAATAACTCACAACACGTCTGATTAAAGAGGCGAGGAGTCACTAGATCCATTTAATCATGTCCACATACTTTTAAACTTTTATGTAACCTGGCTCAGTCATTAAGAATAGCCCCTTAATTATGTTACAACCACTATAATGAAAACTAGCATGTAAAGCAATCTGATAGCACTGTAAACAGATCAAAAGAGCCTGTGTAGGAGTGATCTGTGTCTCTGAGTGACCATACACTGTCCTCCGCAGGTGTGAGTGAATGTCACTTTCAGCAGAAGCTGAAATGCCCCTACACCGCAGAGCAGAAGCGTCAGCCCAGGATCTGGTGTAAGCGGGACGATGCTAACCATGAGTGCTGTTCAGGCTTTGCCTTCCAAGCTGGGGACAGCCAGCTACTGGGTGGCAGCCTGACCGTGCAGGACGACGGCCAGGCCTTCGTGGTGTCCGTCAACAGCCTGTCCCAGGGAGACGGGGTGTACTGGTGCGGCCTGAAGAACAGCTCCAATGTCATCGTCAAACTGGCCGAGAGTCAACTCTACTCCAGTGAGCCTGCAGCCTCTTCAGCTCCTTACACTGAAACCTGTTACTTAGAAACGCTCAGTGCATTAAGATGTAAACAAAGTCTTTCAGAGTGGTTTGATGGTTGAGCACTGTGTTCTAGAGAAGCTTAATAGAATTGTTTGATGGGAACCAGACATCCAAAGCCCCTTAAAGCTCCCTCGTAGAACCTTATTACATGAAATAGTTATGAATACACCGTCTGATGCCTGAGACATTGTTTTTTATGATAATCTTGGCTTTAAATGTATTTTAAAAGCCTTTTTTTCAGATTTACCGCTATTTTACCATTATCAGCATTACATATAGAAGCATGTAGGTTCACTGGTGGTTATGGATAGTAAGTAAAATGGCTATATTTGTGTTGTAGACATCAGGACCCCTGGTTCCTATCAGCACCACTGTAAAGACAAGAGTTCATAGGTTTCTCCTCAACGAACCATTTCACCTCAGACCACTCTGAATGACTCTGTTCATATCTCAATGACTGAATAAGCAGAAATTTTGACAGTTCCTTTAAAGTGAAATACACAGACACATTCATTGATACCTCAGTCGGCTGATGAAAGCAATCCTGATTCTAATTATGTTAAAAGTCAAACAAATATTGCAAAGTTCAAAATCCAGATTGAAGCTGATTTTCAGAGTAAATTCATTTTACTAAGTACAACATTTCAGTAAATGGATGAAAGTAGAAAAACTCCTGGCAACCCCTGGCTGTATATCTACACTCTTAAAAAGATGGTGCTTCAAGGGTTCTTTAGTAAAAACAATAGAACCATGAACACTGCATGATTAAAGGGTTCTTTGCATCATGAAAGCATTCTTCAGATTGGTCTGAAGGTTCTATCAGATAGCTAGAACCATCTACAGCACAGTAGTTTCCATCAATCTGAACAACGCTTTTACCATGCAAACAATCTTTTAAGCAAGCCAATGGTTCTTTGAGTGTTCATGGTTCTATATGGAACCACTGTTTTTGCTAAAGCACCCTTGAAGAACCTTTTTTAAAGCACCCTTGAAGAATCTTTTTTAAGAGTATATATATATATATATATATATATATATATATATATATATATATATATATATATATTATATAACAATCTTGGGTAAAAGGAGTTGCTAAAAAGAATATCAACTGATTTTAATAGAAAAGAAATTTAGTTTTCCTCTATTAAATGTGTTATTAGTGATATTATAGTATTAGTAATTAATAATATTGTACTTTAATGAATCATATCAGGAGAACTGTGTGGTGGCACACATGAACACTAGTTGCATTTACTCACATCCTTGTACTCGAGTAAAATTTTGGTGGATTTGTACTTCCCCCAGTATTTTTTTACATGATACTTTTAGTATATTTGTGAGAAAAATAATCTACTTTTTTACTCCGTTCCATTTTAGTCATTAACATTTAATCACTAATTCCTTTTTGTGTTTTTCCGTTATGCCAGTAATAACATGTAAACTGCTCTGTGATTAGTCACACCTCTGATTGTTGAGGTTTATAGATTTAATTTAGATTTAAAAAAGGATCTGAAAAGAGAAGAACAGAGCTTACCAGACTTCAGTTCCTATACTGATAGATGCTCAATGTACTAAGAAGTTCCACTGCAGGTCTATAAGTTACTCAGTACTTAAGTAGCTTTTTGACAAGTTACTTCTGTCCATCTACTCAAGTTTTTTGGGAAGGTACCTTTACTTTTCCTTGAGTCATCATCTCACCAGAGTGACAACACTTCTACTTGAATATTTGGTTTTAAGCTACTTTACTTATTCTGCTTAGGTGCAATTAAGAGCAAGTACTTTTAATTCAAATACAACAGTTCTTCTACTTTTACTCAAGAAATGTTTTAAGTATTAATTCAATACTTTCATTCCAATACAGACGTATTAATACTTTCATTCTAATACAGATGTTTTGGACTTTGTCCAGCCCTGAATATGCCCACTGTGAGACATACAGTCGTGTGCAGACGTTTAGGCAGCCCTGGTCAAATGACATGCTTAGTTGATTTTCTAGGTGAAAGTAAGTGAACACATCCTCTGCACATTTTAACACACAGATACTGTTTATTTGCTAAATGTAACATATTGGCGAAAAAATAAGTGGCCTGTGCAGAAGTTATGGCACATTATATATTTTATATTTTATGTTTCACAAAATGTTAAAGTTAGCAAAATATTTAAAATTATGCAGAAAAATACTGTATTTAAGTGTGTTACCTGTGGAGGATGTGTTAACTTATTCTAACTTAGAAAGTCAACAAAACATGCCGTTTGACCAGGGGTGTTCAAATTTTTGCATACGGCTGGAAGTAGAACTGAGTTTTAGTGTTTTACATGCAATAACACTGAACTGACTTTGCTGATGCTCCACCCACAAATCCGTTATTTTATAGCTACTAGGTTAGACAAGCTTTGTCTAGCTTTACTGGGCACTAGGTTAGACAAGCTTTCCAGAAATCCCATTCAATTTAATGAGAATCACAGTGCACAACTTGGTTTGTGTCAAAACATGTTATTAATTTTAAGTGATAATCACTGTGTATGTGAACGGTCACACTGTTAGCATAAATCAAATGTAGTTTTTTGTTGTGTTGTTTTGAACAGCAATAACAACAGCCTGGCAGTTCAGCCTGGCAGTCCAACCCCAGTATTTCAGCGTGGTGATCCAGCTCAGTAGTCCAGCTCAATTGTCTAGCCTGGTAGTCCATTTTGATAGTCTAACCCAGTAATCCAGCCCGGTAGTTCAGCCCTGAAATCCAGCTCGGCAGCCCAGCCCAGTAGTCCATCCCAGTAGTCCAGCTGTGTAATCTAGCTCACTAGCCCGGCCCAGTAGTCCAGTGCGGTAATCCAGCTCAGTAGTCCAGATAGTTAGCCAAGCCCATCAGGCCAGCCCAGTAGTCCAGCCCTGTAATCTAGCTCGGTAGCCCAGTCCAGTAGTCCAGCGCAATAATCCAGCCCTGTAAACCAGCTCGGTAGCCCAGCCCAGTAGTCCAGCATGATAGTCCAGCCCGGTAGTTTACCTTGGTAGTCCAGTGTGGTAATCCAGTTTGAGGATCTAGCTCGTTAGTCCACCCTGAAAATCCATCTTGTTATTTCATCCCTGAAATACAGATCATTAGTCCAGTCCAGTAGTCCATCTTGGTAATCTAGACCAATAGTTCAACCTGATAGTCCAGTTCATTTTTCCAGCTTGATAGTCCAACTCAGTAGTACAGCTCGGTAGTCCAGCCTGGTAGTCCAACTCAGTAGTACAGCCTGGTACCTTTCCCTATTCACACTGTGTCACTGATGTTATGTCCCATTCTTTCAAAGCACTTCTGCTGTATTTTTTTTCTTATTTTGCCTGTGGTCAACCAAACCCTTGCTGAGGAAAGCAGTGTTCTTCATATCATAACCTTGACCTTTATTTATGCACGTTTCTCTCCCAGTTCAGCTACCTGAGGTGCCTCGCAAATAAAACTAAAATACCACATTCATTTATATGAACTTTTTCTGTGGTGTAAATGTGATGCATTTAAAATGACAAACAAAGCAGCAGACAGAACAGAAAACACAATGAAAACACATGACAAAACAGCAGGACAGCACATATTACCGGCATCAAGCACATCAGGCTAGAGATAAACAGCACACTATCTAACCCCCATCACAACCAGCATGGCATTCAACAAATACCACTTAATCTATGAAATCTAATCTCAAATAAGACAGCGGAAGTCTAGCAAAATGATATGCCATCAATTTGCATATTTTGTTGATTTTCTATGTGAAAATAAGTGTACACATCCTCTACATATGGACATTTTTTGCCAATTCTATTATCTTATTTGAAGGGTTTAACATTTTTAAAAAAATACAATATAGAATGTGCCATAACTTTTGCACAGGCCACATTGTATGTTGTAATTTGTTCCCAATATGTTAAATTCAGCAGGTAAACAGTATTTGTGCATCTAATTTCTTCACTTAAAAAAATCAACAAAACATGGAATTTGCCCCAAACTTTTGCATACGACTAATTTAGGCTATATAAATCAAAATAGAATATTGAGGTGCATCGGAAATCAATTTCTAATCGCCCTGAATTAAAATCAAATTGTGAGGTGCTCAGATATCCCCCCCCCCACCCCCCACACACAGAACATGCAATGAATTGTGATTCTTTTACAGCTCCTCCGGGTTTTGTATGGGGCATCCTTCGCTGGATTGTGTTTCTGCTGTTGCTGCTGGCAGTAATTTCAACATGCATTTATTCCAACAGTGAGTACTTAGTTCCTCTGGCACAGTACGTGTGCGTGAGCAGAGCATTACCACAGCTGCTTAGCGTAGCGTTTTGTGAGTTTAAAAAAAGGAACTGCCTCTGTCTTTTCGTCATTAAACCACAAACACCATCCAGCAGCGCTGTGCTCCGTTAACAGACAGTGTTTGAGTGCGAGAGCTCGTGCACGCTGGCTTCTAACTCACTCATTTCTCTCCCCTTCTAGGGAAAACCAGAAGTGAGAAGGTAGGTTACCATTCCCTGAAGCTCTATTGCACTCACGCGTGCAGTTCTGTGAAAAAGTATTAGCCCCCATCCTGATTTTCTTTTTAGTTTTGAATATTTGTGGCAGTGAATGGTTTTTTCAGATCGGACAGTTCTGAAGGAGAGTGTCTGTTCATCTGTCCATGAGCTGAATTTGGAATGTAACTGGGGTGTGCAGCAAGACAGCGATCCAAAACAGAGCAGCAAATTCACACTTGAACGGCTGAAAAGAAACAAAATTAATAGCTTGGAGTATATATATATATATATATATATATATATATATATATATATATATATGTATATAGTGCTGCTGGAGTTTTTAAACACTGTGTCCACTCACTGTCCACTCTATTAGACACTCCTACCTTGTTGCTCCACCTTGTAGATGTAAAGTCAGAGACGATAGCTCATCTGCTGCTGCACAGTTTGTGTTGATCATCCTCTAGTCCTTCATCAGTGGTCACAGGACACTGCCCACAGGATGCTGTTGGCTGGATATTTTTGGTTGGTGGACTATTCTCAGTCCAGCAGTGACACTGAGGTGTTTAAAAACTCCAGCAGCACTGCTGTGTCTGATCCACTCAGACCAGCGCAACACACACTAACCCACCACCACCACATCAGTGTTACCACCCAAATAGTACCTGGACGTCTATTGCTGCTGACCAGCATAACAGCATCCAAATCGCAACATATGCTGGTCTATGCTGTTTTTTCTAGATTTGAGTCTTTATCTTTTAAACTTGCGCAACAGTGAGCCAGAACTGAACCTGTACTGTATAAATCTGTCTAGCCTGCTCAGTTAGCTTGATGAACTTGTCTCTGATGCGAATGAGGACAGTGTTAGAATACTGCAACAACAGAATAGTGTTTTCAAAGAAAAATGTGAGCTTTGTGCTACTATAATCATAATAATCCAACCAAGAGAAGTTAACCATTTAAAATAAATACATTGTTTAGTGCTGGGGGTCTTTAAAACAGCTCTGCAAAGAAGAGTGGGTTCAGATTCCTCCAGAACAATGTGAAAGGCTGATACCAAGTTATAAGTTGGTTGCAGTCAGTACAGCTAAAGATCATGAAACGAGTTATTTAAGGCATTTTGTGTTTGATAAAGTTCCCTTCGAAGATCGAATAACGTCCACTGTGACAAAACATGCGGTAATATAGACAGTCACCAAGGGGGCAAATACTTTTTCACAGCATTGTACAATGTTTGCTTGAAGCTATATGCATGGCACTTTATAAAGCAAGAGCATATGACTTGCAAGTGTGCATAAAACACACTGTACAGTCAATAACACATAATAAAGCATTATGCCAGGTTATTGCCACCTTTAAGTAAAGTGAGGTTTTAAATGTGAAGGAAATAATGCATCACTTTAAACATGCTGTGCATGTAAATATAACTACTTTTGAGCAATTATAAGAAGTTTATGCTGGTCATTATAATTAATAATCCATTGTGAATACAGCTGCAGAAATACAGATGATCAGCCATTGTTTAAGTCTGATTTAATGCAACGATGGTAATCCTAATATGGGTGTGTGTGTTTCAGAAGAGAAACGCAGTGTATGAAAGCGTTTTGGAAGAAAAACAGCGCTGAAGAGAGGAAGAACTGGCTTTGTGGACACAGATGAAGCTGAGCCCTCGTCTACACAGGATTTCCAGGGGAGGATCAAACAGAATTATTTCAGTACTACAGTACTAGGCTTCATCTGTTTCATCTGCTGCACAGTATCACACAAGTACAGTCCTGTGATAAAGTCTTGGGCAAATTATTTCTCCTGAATGCTGCCAGCCACCGCATTGACTTGTTCTAATTTATCAGCAGCACATTTGATTTAATTTAATAAAGTACTGATTATCCAAACCAGGTATTGGATTATAACTATGCAAGGTATGAAAATGGTTAAATGAACGCACTGATAAATACAGCAAATACATTTTCTGTGGTGCCTAAAACTTTCTCAGAGCACTGTATATATAAAACTACTCTTCACAAGTTTGGAATCACTTTGCATATTAAGAATGTGTGTTGGGCAACAGTGATAAGTTAAATAAGGATAAAATACTGAAAACATCCATTTGTAGCATTTGTTGTCCTACAAATATCTGCCTTGAAATACATTTTCACCTTTGAAATAAAAGGTATATTTTTGGGGGCAACACGTCACAGAGACATATACAAAGTTTTCTTGAGATAACACGTTAATTATCTTGTAATCTCAAGACAACAATCCAGAAAATTATAGCAACAGCTCATGGCCTCTCCGGACTTTCATATTATACTGCTCTTGTAATGCTCTTATTAAGCCTTAAAAAGCCAATAGCTAGTAATTAACTGCTTATTACTTCATTATTAATGAGTAACTAGCATAAACCAGAAGGGAAAAGTTTGTGAACGAACTTTAATTTGGTTGCTGTGATATTCTGTGTGGTTGCCATGGTGTCGCTAGGCCGTAGTTTTGGTACAACAGGTTGTTGCTAATGTGTTGCCAGACCATTGCTATGGCATCCCTGGTGGTTGCTAAAGCGTCTCTAGGACATTGCTGTGGTATGCATAGTGGTTGCTCAGGTGTCAGTAGGTCATTGCTATGGTATCCCTGCCCTGGTGGTTGCTAAGGTGTTGCTAGGTCATTGCTATGGTATTCCTGCCCTGGTGGTTGCTAAGGTGTTGCTAGGCAGTTGCTATGGTATCCCTGCCCTGGTAGTTGCTAAGGTCTTGCTAGGTCATTGCTATGGTATTCCTGCCCTGGTGGTCGCTAAGGTGTTGCTAGGTAGTTGCTATGGTATCCCAGGTGGTTATTGTTAAAGTGTTGCTAGGCTGTTGCTATTTTATATATACATATAAAAATATTACGCATCATAATTTTCCAGTCCCTTATACTGCCCTTATTAAGCCTTATTAAACTGATAGCTGTTAATGTATCAAGCCAATAGCTACTAATTAACTGGCTGCCCAATACAACATTATTAAGGAGTAAATAGGGTGAATTAAGTACTTTCCAGAGCTCCTGTAATCCTCATATGAAGTCTTATTCTTATTAAGCTACTTTTAGACAGCTTAGACAGTCCAGCTTAGTGCCCACGTTTAAGAAACATTTGAAAAGGTATCTCTTTAACTAGCCTTTAATTAAAATTCCACGTCTCTTTTGGTATTTACCCTTTTAATTTGATCTGTGTCATCGTCTTACATGATTTTATATTAATACTCATAGTTTCATCTATCACTGTTCAGCTTTATCACCTGTCTGCAAATGACTTTGAGTATGAAGAGAGCCCCATTAATAAAAATATTAGTATTCTGACCAAGTCCAGGAGTGGATGAGACAAAATCAGGAGCAAGGGAAAAATAAAGGTTTCGAAATTGCTTTATAGTTCAGTTCACATTATTATTAAATTAATAGTCTATCAACCTGTTCAGCTGTGCATTCTGACTTTTAGAAGCTAATGATAGCTAAGTACTACTGGCTTGATAAGGCTTCTCAAGGCCTATATAAGCTTTTCAAGGGTTCTGGAAAATGTTTAATTCACTGTAGTTACAGCTTAATAATGTAGTAATAAGCAGATAGTTAAGGATCAAGTACTGGTTATAAGTGCCTTAACAAACCAGCTTTATATGTTACATTTATATTATATTATATATATTGTCTCCCTATACTGACCCTTTTTAAAACCTTCCTACTAATAATTTGTAATTATGCATGTTTATGAAGCTGTACAGGAATAGATTATTTGAATTTGCATTTATCTTCCAGCACTTTGGCTTTATATTATTGAAAACACTGATTCCAAACTTCTGAAGAGTAGTGTAACTATGTACTATTTGCATATGCAGTAGTTCATTGAATGAAACTGTTATTATGTAACTGTAAACATGCCCTAAAGCAGAATTTAGTTTCCAGTCTTTGAAAAGCTACAGGCTTCCACCATCTAGTGGACAAATCCCTGCATTGCAGGGCAGTTTTTCAGTTCTTCTGATGTTATTTGCTTAGAACTTATTACAATTAACAGAGATGCACATTAAAATCTATGTATATTTCAGTCGTGCTAATAATAGGTCTATTGACTTGCCTGCATCACTGAAGTAAAATTCAGATGTTGTATTTTTAGTATATTTTAGCAGCTTTTTTCAGCAAGGTACAAAAGCTGGAGCATGCGCCAAACATTTTTATAATAAAACGAAGAAAAACAAAGCAAACGTGTTGGAGAAAAGTCTTTGCTATATTTTTGCTTCTTTTCTTACATTTCTTACACAGTTTTTGTTTGTGTGGAGTTGGAGAGGAAGCTAGTGGGAGCGTTGGCCGTCTGCTCAAAAGGCTTTTTGCCATAAGTCACGGTGCATTTTCAATAGCAACTCAGTCCGAGTTACATACAGCAATGCAGCAAAGTTCAAGTCACTCACAGCAATGCAAACAGAGTAGCACAGTTTTCTCTGCAACGTGTGAAACTGTCAGATATTCTGCTTTCAGTGTTGACCAAAACGTGGCAAACAAAGTTTAAGAAGCAAATTAACATGGAAGAAACAAGTTCATTGCACTCGACAGTGTAACAGTGCTTGGTTTTAGGTGAAAATTGACTAAAGCAAGAACAACATTAATAATAATAACAACAACAACAATAATCATAACAATAATAACAATAATAATAAGCCACTCATTGTACAACAGCTTCATATTCCCACAGGTCATAATCAGTCTTGTATCTAAGTAAGCAAACGTCATCCTGGCACCACAACATGCTATGAACTCAGAGTGACGTGGAAACATTTTCGTAGTTGTTTTGCATTAGAAATTTCCTGTAGGAACAGTTATTTCATCACTGCTGTGTTCTGACTTTCTTTAAGGCAGCTGTACATGGTGAGAGGTTTACATGGTAAAGCTGTAGTAATGTTGTAGGTGGGCAGCATTTTTTTAGCCCCCATAGAGTGTGAACGACTATTTAAAGATGCCAATTACATTCACACTCACTGTCCACTGTATTAGGTTCATCGACCTTGTGTCTGCGCTCAGTGTCCATTTTACCAGGTTCAGTTACAGTCTGAACACCCCTGGTTTTGTAACACATCCTCTATTGGTAACACACTTAAACATGCCATTTATGCCCATTTTAGTGCACCATTTATATTTGTTTGCTGAGTTTTGCAATATTGGAATAAAACTGTGTATATATATATATATATATATATATATATATATATATATATATATATATATATATATATATATATATATATATATATATCGCTGTTGTTGGAAGGAAACCTTGTATCTCCAAAATGGTAACTTTACGGGAGAAGGAAAAAACCTACTTCACTTTTAATGTAAGTCAATGGAACCAGACGTCTTTCCAAGTCATTTTGGGCCGTTTCTTTTGGTCCATTCTTCATGAAATTTACGCACAATTTAAAGGACAACAGGCATTTTCAAAATATGTGAACTGAAAAACGACAAAAATGGAGATACAGAGTTTTCTTCCGACAGCAGAGACAGTGTGCCTTAACTTTTGCTCAAGTCACATTTTTTTGTTTGATTTTTTACTTCCAATATGTTAAACTCAGCAGACCTACAATAATCGTGCATTAAAATGTGTAATCCTCTACAGAGAACATGTTCATACTTAGAAAATCAGCAAAATATGTGATTTGACCAACTATAGCTTTACTTTGCTGTTCTGCGATTACAGCTTGTAGTCCATCTGCCTAATCTTTTGTCCCCCTTTACCCTGTTCTTCAATGGTCAGCATCCCCACAGGACCACCACTGAGCAGCAGGTGGTGGATCATTCTCAGCACTGGTACAGGAGTGCTTTTTAACTCACTCTGGGTCAGTGGTCCACAGAAGCGTGGATGCAGTGCAATATGAGCCCAAAAATGTGCCTCGATTAAATTTTCTAATTACTCAGAATGCAGCTTCTTATGCAAACTGAATGTAGCTCCGCCCACTAACCGCTCACTCGTGAGGCGCAGGGTGTAAACGGCTCAGTGAAATAATAGAGCAGTCAACAAGCTGGAGACAAAACAGAAAACAAAGATCAGTGATGAAGAGTTAGAGGTGTTAATAGATGAAGTTCCCATACAGTCATTGTGGAGGGGTGTCATTTTACTCTGGCCAAGAAAACAGAGTTGACATGGATGCAACCGTATCAAGGCACGTACACCTGGTCCCAAGGAGTTTAAACAGTGTTTATAGAAACTCTGAATTTGAATTTGAATCTCTATCACACCTTTCGAAATAGAATCTGAAACTGAATTTTGTTGATGTTAAATTGAATGTGAGAAACTCAAATTCTGAAAAGCTTTCACTTTTTCTACTATTTTTTATTTATAGATTCAGTTTCAAAATAACATCTGAGTGTCCTGCAGGCAAACAGGCAAACAACGAACCTCTTCATCTCTTTCTTTTCAGAGACAGACTTTCAAACGTCCAATTGTACATCAGCTCAAATCAATTTCAGTCCAGAATTCAGTTTCAGATTGTATGATACAGATTTTGCATTTCAAGTCAAATTTCTAATGACACAAATCCATTAAACTCTAAGTGTTATTCTGATTGTAAACATTCTTTCAGCACGTCTTGTTCCTCCATCTAACTGCTGCAGCTGGTGCCGCTGATAAAGAAAGTGTCTCAACATCAAGGCTTTTGAGACCTTGACAAAAATTTACGCCCATTTTTAAAAGGTGCAGGAAATTCGATGCACAACTAGTCAACTGCTAGTTGCTCAAACTCCAATAAACTGAGTGGAACATGTGATCAGCCTACCTACTTTTTGAGTGGGCCTTCCTCAAATGTGCAGGCATTAGAAACAAATAATGCATTAGTATTAATAATAACTTTACTGTAGGGTACTGTTTATAAGGCTATATGACACCTACATAAGCTTGTCCTGACAACTGACATAACCCTGCATAAATGTTTAAATGTGTTTATTCCTTTATAGTCATTCGCTATAAAGGTTACATTTGCCAGTTTTGATCAGTCAGCTAAAGTAGCCTTTATGACAGATAACACCTGTTGGAATAAGCATTTATAAACATTTATGTCAGTAGTCATGACAAGTTTATGTAGGTATCATGTAGCCTTATGAACATACCCTACAGTAAAGTGTTACCATAATAATATCCCATGATCCCCGTGATGAACCTGGCGACCTGTCCAGGGTGTTTCCTGCTTTCTGCCTGATGAACGCTGGGACAGGCTCCAGTTCCCTCCGCGACCCAGAAGGATAAGCAGCTTGGATGGATGGATGGATGGATGGATGGATGTATAGTCCACAATCCAGGAATGTCTACCCAACAGCATCCTGTGACCAGAAACTGACCACTGATGAAGGACTAGAGGATGACAAACACAAACTAGGCAGCAACAGATAAGCTATCGTCTCTGACTTTGCAAATACAACGTAGGAGTGTCTAATAGAGTGGACAGTGAGTGGACACAGTCTTTAAAAACTCCAGTAGCACTGTTGTGTCTGATCCGCTTGCACCAGCGCAACACACGCTAACACATCACCACCACATCAGTGTCACTGCGGTGCTGAGAATGATCCACCAGCCAAATATTACCTGCTCTCTAGTGGTTCTGACCATTGAAGAACAAGGTGAAAGGGGGATACAGACAAAAAACAGATGGGCTACAATCTGTAAGAACTACAAAGTGCACCTATAGGGTAAGTGGAGGTGATAAAATGGACAAATAGTACTTAATAAAGTGGCCAGTCTGCCGTTTTTCTCTTAATTATTTCGATGTATTCATTCTGTACACATTTTAGAATGGCCACCAACATGAGAGCTGCTGTTCTTGGTTTTCCACAGCAGATCTACTTGATGTATGTATGAAACACCGGCCAGTTCATACACAATGCAGCTATTTAAAAATACCCTTATTATGCGTTTAAGTCAATCCTGAACTCCTTAATTTACACGTACAGGCCAACCCTTAAAACCTACACGACGTATTAACTGTTACATTCCAAAATAATCATGAATATCATTTCGAAACCTGGAAAAAAAAAGCAACCAGTAAGTTTACACAGACGAAGTACAGTATACAGCACATTTCACCTAATACACTGAAACCAAATGTACAGAAAAGAACCCGGAGCCATGCACCAAATGTTAAAAGAGACATGCTCTTCTGCAGCTGTCTTAGGCTTTTACACGAGGGCAACCAATAAACTGATGCGACTGCAGCAAAGAAAAACATTCAGGAGGGTTCGTTTTTTTGGAGTGGTTACCCCAGAAAAAAAAGAAAAGAAAAAAAAGCATACAGTAGAAAAGCCACAGCAGGTAGCCGGTCAGTATTTCACCCAACAAAAAAAAAACAAAAAAACAAAAACAAGCTGCAAAAGGTGGTACTGGTACATGCAGGATGCAGCAGTTCTCAATGGCTTCTCCACTTATTGCAGTTTGAGTGCCCGAAGATGTCCGCTGCTGACCTCTGTGGTGGAAAGAGCCTCTGTTTAACAATGGCTTTTCCTCTCTTTCTTTTTTTTTTGTCTTTCTGAAATCTGAAACATGTCGCCATGAAATGTAAAATGCCACGTGGTTCTCAAAGACTTGCTGAGGCCAGTATCGCACATACAGGTTGAGTCATGTTGTTTCAGTATGCCTGGCCTTCTAAAGCTCCTCGTAGTCTCCCTCCTCTCTCTTGGCTGACCCTTCCCCTCCGGCCAGGAACGCCTCCAGGTCGTCCAGCTCGCCCGGTTTTTTGCTGCGGGACTTT